AATTTAATTTCAAAAGAGATTAGTGTAATTTATTCACATTAATACAATCATTTCCAGAAACATGTTATCATTATTTAATAATAAGTTATAATAAAAATATGATTAACTTCACTATTACAATTTACATCTATAGTTACACAATTATGTTGAAGTAAATACTTAGTATATTTTAATTGTGGAATTCACTCTCTCTCGCATAGGTTTATTGCTCTCATTTTCCCTATGACAAATAACAAATAATTGCTCTATAGAAAGAGGTTTGGAGCTCACCAAGTCGCAAACTATGTAGCGTGGAGTAATCTCTTTAATATAAGGTGGCATTCGATCAACTTATGCATAGTAAACTAGGAATAGTATAATTACTCATAAATTATGTATATCAATTAATTAAATAAAAATGAGTTTCATTTAAAATATTTGAATTTACAGTTCATCCGAAGACAATTTCATTTACTTACAAGTAGCGATTAGTGAAGTTTGGAAAATAAAATTTAAAATAAATTTTTTTTATGTAAATTTATAAAAGTAGCCCTCAGAATAATATAATAGTGATATTTAAAAAAAAAACATTGATTATTTTATTAAGTCAATTTGAACTAAAATGATTTAAATTAATTACATTATTTTATATTTAACTTTTATATTTAACTTTCTGTGTGTATATCATCAACTTTTACGAGTTACAAAAATGCCGGGGAGACGAAAAATTTTATTTGAACAACATACTTTGCCTTACCGTTCAGATATCAGTATTTAAATAATAATCAATTCTTTAAGTATCAATTTTTTTAACATAATTTTTATTTAAATAATTAATTTTTGATCAAAGTTAATATTCAAATGATATAAATAATATATAATAAAAATAGTGGTAAATTACAGTAAATATTTTTAAATTTAATTAATCATTTTGAACTATTATTTGTAAATCTTTTTGCACTTTGTTCTCAAGAATTTTAAAACTCAATAATTAATCATATTGAACTATTAATTTGTTGCACTTGACATTTTTTGTTAGGAATCTATTAAGAATTTAAATGGAATTTGATCATGTACGAAACATATACACTTGTTGATTTTTTTTTTTAAAACAATTATACCTGTTATTGATTTTTTTAGAATTTTCTCATTTACATTTTATCTCTCTTATCTTAGTGATAAAGTGCAAACGTTATTATCAAATAAAATGTATTATTATTTTAAAATTTTAATGAATATGTCACGCATTTTACACATGATTTGATTTTGTAATTTCTAATAAAATTTTAATAAAAATGATTAATTATAATAAAAATATACTTAAAAATGATTAATGGTTAAATTTTAAAATAAAAAAAATAAAATGTAAATAAGTAATAGTTTAAAAATATTTAATGCAATTTTTACATGAGAGGAAAAGTAGCAGATGGTGGTGGGAAACGATCTGCGGTGGAGCCTAACTTTGATGATGGGATTGGGAAAAAATCAGAAACACGTGCGGTGGTCGGCGAGATTAAATGTGAAAAAATTATTAGTTGATTTTTGGACATTTTTGGAACATATTAAAAAAATTAATTTTTTGATTTTTTAATTAAAAAATCAATTTTTTTACTCAAAATAACCATATTTTTTTGTTTAAAAAGTCATTAAAAAAATTAAAAAATTAATTTTTTATCATACTTTTTAAAACACCACTTAAAACGTCACGTGATCCTATTCTAAGCTACTCACAATTTTTTATGTCTTTTAATATTGTTTAATTTTTTAATATAAAATTATAAATTTTATCTTTTTTATTAATCATAATATATATGAAATATCACATAATTTTATCCAAATCACCAAATAAACCCCTCTAAAAATGTCAGCCTAATACACGTGGGTACTAAAAGTGTGGTATTCTTGGCAAATCAAAAGTGGACCGTATGGATTTGTTTTGTTACCGTTTATTTGAGTGGCTTCTATTTTTTTTAACGAAAAATTATAAAACATAAATAAATTAAGATTAGATCCTTAAACATTTGGCTTTAATTATGCCAATTTAAATTTAATTTTTTTTTATTTTTTTAATCTAATTATTTTTCTATTTTTATTAGTATAATTGATAAAAAAAATTAGTATTTAAGTCATTAAACTTAATGAAAATGATATTTTACATATTTTATATATACTTATATTGAATTTAATGATTAAAATATTCTTTTTATATTAATTTTTCTTAATAAAAATAAATAAATAGTTTAAATTGAAACAAATCAAAATATTAAAATTTAAAATTATAAAATTAAAAACTCATTATTTATTTTGTAATAACTCATTTCCTTTCCTCTATTTTTAAAATCTCCTAGGAACTAAAAAATAAATAATTTTTATTACGGAAAATGCAGGTTTTTAATGGAAAATGCACTTAAAAAATATGCACAAATTGAATATGTAAGCACCACGGGCACAACACTTGGATTTTTTTAATAATTATAATATTATAATGACTAGGCTCAAATCTTTAATTTTTTTTTTTATTACAATTTATTATATAAAATAAATTAATAAATTTTTAAATTTTAATTATTTGAAAGTGAAGAGAATTTTTTTATTAAAATTAATTTTTAATTTACATTAAACTGCTCAAAAAAGCCCAACAAATTGCTTGCACAAAAAAGTAGACTTCCACGGCATGTTGTTTTTACCTCTTGAGGATCATTATTGCACTAATAATTATAAATGAATCACATTAAATTTTCAAAATTTTTATATTTTTCCCTTTAATGGATTTTTTAATTAAATATATTTTGAACTTCTTGTTAAGTAGGATTTAAAAAGAGTGAATAAAAAAATCATAAAACACAAAAAATCAATAAACAATTGTTAAAAATAGGGGTGTTTTGGGACAAAATAAAAAGATAGTTTTTTAGCTTTTTTTAGCCAAAAAAGAGTCACAAAAAAGCCATAAAAAACTGTTTTTTTAGTCAAAAAAAACCACAAAAAATTAAAAAATCAGTTTTTAACCAACTTCCTAAAACACTCCATGATGTGATCGGGTTGTGAATTAATTTGATTGGACTATGAATGAATTTATTTTAATTATAATTTTTAGTTACTTGTATACAATCATATGCTTGACTGTAAACAAATCATATTAAACCATAATATACTGCAGATCAAATTTAAATATACTGTAAACAAATCTATTAAACCATAATATAACAGCAGATCAAATTTAACTATGACATAATAAATTTTTATAAATTCTTGCTCAAAAGTGTGATATTTATCATATCGTTTGAGGATTTAAGATTTTAATAAAAAAGTTAAAAAATAATTATAAGTTGTCGTATTATTCTCTCTATTTTTTCATAAAAAATTTAAAAGTTAATTAAAATAATTACGTTCTAAACGATTATGTCAACAAAAAAAGGTAAATTTTTTTTATTAATATTACATGAATAAATAATTATTTTAATATATATATATATATATATATATTTCTAAGATTTTCACAATTTTGTATGCTTATGGAACAGAGCAAACAGTAGGGAATACTGTTGGATTTTGACCAATCTATGAGTATACACGACTTTGAACGTGCACAAAGCGCTAGATGCGAAATTTCATAGGGACGTACTTCATTGAAATTGTCACTTGTGACAAAATAAAAAGTTTCAATAAATTTCTTGAAACATCTCTAGTTCTCATCCTCTTAAATTCTAAAAAGGGTGTTGTAATTTTAAAACAATAGTGAAATAATTTATATTTTTAAATATTTTAAGAATGTATTTATAATTAATTTAGAAATAAAATATTTATGTTTCATAATAATCAATACTCTTTGTAATATTATGAAAAAAAATTTATCCAAACAAAATATTCACATTTCATAACTGACTAAGATTTTTTGCATAATCATGAAAAAATCTTCATCCAAATCCCACAGCCAAAGTGAAATCACAAACCAGGAAAGCAAAATACAATTCTTAAAGCAACTTTTATAGATATGGATGTAATTAATTTTAAATAATTTTATATATAATTAAATTTAAATAAATTAATTAGTTAAAATTTTGATATAAAATTTAATGAAATTATTAGAATTATAAAATTGTTAAAAGATTGGAAGTGCCCTCTGAAGTAATTTTAGAGCCCTGTGGGAAGCACAAAATTGGTTTGGAGAACATAATTGATTTTAAAACTTTAAATATTTTAGTAAATACATTTTAAAAATATACCATCCGTTCACCTATATTTGAAAAAAATTCTTAAACTTAAATCTTATAAATTATAATATTAGTAACAATTTGTTACGTTTGATTTTAAGGTAGTTACGAAATTTAAAAATATATATATAAATTCTACAAAAAAATATATAATTTGTTTCTTAAAATATATGTTAACAAGACCTAGGTTAACCTTTAGTCGAGTATAGATAGACTTCCTTTAACTAAAATAATAAATATTTTAACTTACCATGCAACTCTCATACCCCATTCTATTTAACGTAGGCTCGTTTGGGAATGCTCTGTTTTATTTAAAAGTTAAAAAGTTATTAAATTAATCAAAAAATTATAATTTATACTAAAAAGTCAAAGATTCTCTTTTCTCTCTAATTTTTACACATCTTTCGTAATTAGCTAAAAAATCATCCCAAACATACTAGTTTTTTTTAACTCATATTTTAGCCCAATAATTAAAAAGTTACTAAATTAACCTATTCCCAAACGAGGTCTAGTTGTCTCTCTAACTTTTTAGAGAAATTTAGAATTTAATTTTATGGAGAAATGAAATCTCGACTGTTCAATTATGCTAACTTAACATCCACTCTCAATATAAAATAAATAAATAAACTTTATTGCTTGAGAGAAGGCAAGTTATTTGTGCAAATGCACAATGGATAAAAAAAAGTTTTTAACGGAAAATATTGAATTAGCCAAAATTGAAAAAAAATGTGTTGAAATTAAGCAAATTTAAATCAAAATTTAGCAATTAGCTTTTCCCAGTAAGATATAAATTATGTTAAATAATTAAAATAAAAATACAAGAACAACAACAGCTGCTGATATAACTTCAATTAAAATCTCTTCCACGTATGGAAATAGATAGCTCATGTTACAACAAAATATCGCATTTTATAGCGCTTCAAAAAATGCTATCAAAAGTGATAGATTGCGAAAAATGCTATCATACAAACAGAAAGTAAATCATCCCTAACACCCTAATCTAATCTAACCTAACAATTATATTTGCTATTTACAAATTCAATTGAAGAGAGAGAGAGAGAGGAGAGAGAGAGAGAGAGAGAGAGAGAGAGAGATTTAGTCATGAGAGCAGAGGAGCATGACAACACATCTCCTCATAATGTAAATCCTAGCTCTTTGTTGCTTAAGAAACCTTCCCAATCCTCTGCTTGATAACCTCTTCTTTGAGCTACCTTCCATGGTGCTCTGTCACTTCCCATATTCATATCTTTAATTTCTTGAGAGAGAGAATAGGAGAGAGAGAGAGAGAGAGAGAGAGAGAGAAGGGTATTGTATTGTATTCCTATGCACTCTCTTAGTCTGCAGCTGTGTTGCAGAGCAGGGTGGCCTTCTTATAGAGAGAGGAGAGGAAATAAGGAGAATGGCCTATGTGGGGGTCCCTCCCCACCACTTGTGAAATTGGAATCAATGCGCCCCCCCCCCCCCCCCCAAAAAAAAAAACCAAAAAACTCCCTCTTTTTCTCTCTCTCTCTCTCTCCCTCTCTATACAAAAAGTGAAATGAGTAATGATTCATCCCCTTTTTCCCCACCCTTTGACCCCTTTCTCTCTCATTGGTTACCTTTTCTTTTTCTTTTTCTTTTTTTTTCTGCTCCTCCAATCACCACCTGCCACGTGGCAAAGGGGGGTGAGGGGGTGACCCCCAAAAGGGGGTCCCAAGCATTATTCAACTGAAATATTAGGGATCATAATTTTTTTTTTATAGAAATGATCATGAAAGATTTGTGACCC